AAAAAAAAAAAAAAAAAAAACCAACCAACCAACAAATACCTAAATGAATTAGAGGAAACTTAACTGAACTTTACCCAACCGCATGTATCTGGGGATAGATTTAACCTAAGAATATAGGATTCAAGCAGTAAGAGGCTTTCATTATCCTGTTTCCAGTGTTGTAGTCTGGGGGAGAGGGCGAAGGAGAGAGAGGTGCATACGGGCTAAACCTGAGCTGGAATCCTCATAAGCCAGGTTAAAAGGAGCCCCGCACCCTATGCAGGGCTAGGGTGATCATAATGAAACGTGAGCTGTCAGTTGGCCACACACATTCAGAACACAGGAATACAGAGAACCTGGAAATTATGGGAGGCAAAAGGAGAAAAGGTAGCAAGGGAAAACCTTTCTTGTACTTCATCGAACAAAACCCACGACTCTATCCTGGAAAGAGGCAAATGAGACAAGCACCAGCTTCATTTTGTAAGGGGAGGCTAGAAGCACTTTTTGAACACCAACAGCACGCGTGGTGCTGTGTGCCGAGATAGTGGAAGGGTTCGTCTCATGACTCAAAGCGGAGCAGATGGTCTGTGGGAGCTGAGGAAGGACTTTTCCCTGCTGGGCGGAGGATAGCACAGCGCTGGGGACTGGGAGCCACAGGGGGTGGAGCCTTGCCTGGGTTTGCAGCCCAGTACATACCAGGATATAAAACAGGGTAAGTAGTTGGCAGAACAGCTCTCTTCCCAGTCTCGCAGGCAACTGTGTACGACTTAGCTCTTATATTTAACAGGCTGTGCATTAACAGTAAGACCATTCACCACAGCATTGTTTGTAAAAGCAAAAACCTAGAAATCGCCAAAATGTCCAATGGTTAACAGGTAGTTACACAGTTAGTTGCGGAACATTCAAAAAAACCTACATGTGTTGCGAACAGAACAACAATTAGGATTATATTAAGAAAAAAATGGAAGGTAGAGCATGTAGTGGAAACAAATTCACACATACACACACACTCATGCATATGTACTTGTGCTTGAGGGATGCTTCCTAGGTGGGGTGGTGATACCACAGACACTATGGACACATAGATCAGACACTAGGCATCCAACGCTAGAAATGGCTCCTTGGGTCCCCTCTGGTGCCCTGAGGACACCAGCTGCCTCCTGCCATAATTTCATCTGCCATCTCTCCTTCAGACATTGCTACTCAACCCTGCTAAGGCTGAGACAATGTTATAAGATATTACAAAATACCCAATGATTTCCATCAAGCCTTCTTTCTTTAAAAAAATTGAGATATAATTCACATATCATAAAATTCACCATTAAAAAAAAAAGTACAATTCACTGGTTTCAGTATATTCGTAAGGTTGTGTAACCATCACCAGTACCTAACTGCAGAACATTTTCATCACCCCAGAAAGAAGATGCCACACCTACTGGCAGGCACTTTCCATTCTCCCTTCACCCCAGTCCCTGACAACCATTCATCTGCTTCTTGTCTCTACGGTTTTGCCTATTCTGAATATTTCAGATAAATGGAATCATACAGCATGTGGCCTTTGGTGACTGGCTTCTTTCACTTAGCCTAATGTTTTCAAGGTGCCTCCATTTTTGTAGCACGTAACAGTACTTCATTCCCTTTTATGGCTGAATGATACTCCATTGTATGAATAGAACACGTTTTATTGATCCATTCATCTGCTGATGGACATTAGGGTTGTTCCCACCATTGGCTGTTAAGAATAATGCTTCTATGAACATTTGTGGATGTGTTTTTGGGTGAACTTATGTTTTCATTTCTCTTGGGTAAATACCTAGGAGTAGAGTTGCAGGGCTGAATGATAACCATACATGTAACCTTCTGAGGATCTGTCAGACTGCTTTCCAAAGGAGCTGCACCAGTTCACTCCCACCAACAGTGTAGGAGGGTTCTAATTTCTCCAAAACCTTCCTAGCCCTTGTTCTTACTTTTCAGGATACTGTCCTAGTAGGAATGAAGTGATACCTCACTGAAGTTTGGATTTGCATTTCCCTGATGGTAAGTAGTGTCACGTATCTTTTTATGTGCTTATTGGCCATTTGTGTATCTTCTTTGGATAAATGTCTATTTAGATCCTTTGCCCATTTTTTTTTCCCTTTGCCCATTTTTCAATTGAGTTATTTGTCTTTTTATTGTTGAACTGTAAGAGTTCTTTATATATCCTGGATACAAGTCCCCTCAGATATATGATTTGCAAATATTTTCTCTCATTCTGTGGGTTGTCTTTTAACTTTCTTGATGGAGCCCTTTGAAACACAAAAGATTTTAATTTTGATGAAGTCCAATTTATTGATTGTTTTCCCCCTTCGGTCACTTGTACTTTAAGAAACTGGTGCCTAATCCAAAGGCCATGAAGACTTATACCCATGATTTTTTTTCTAATAGTTTTATAGTTTCTGCTCTTACATTTAAGTCTTTGATCCATGTTCAGTTAATTTTTGTTTGTGGTATGAAGCAGAAGGTCTAACTTCATTCTTCTGCATGTGGATATCCAGTTGTCCCATGGCCATCTGTTGAAAAGACTATTCTTTCTCTCATCTTGGCACCCTCGTCAAAAACCAACCGACCATAAAAGAAAGAAGAGTTTGTTTCTAGACTCCCAATTTTATTCCATTGGTCTATATGTCTGTATCACACTATGTTGATTACTGTAGCTCTGTGGTAAGTATTGGAATTGAAAAGTGTGAGTCCTCAACCTCTGTTATTCTTCAACATCGTTTTGGCTATTCATTCTGGGTCCCTTGAATTTTCATATGAACTTTAGGATCAGCTTGTCCATGTCTGCAAAAAAAAATAGGCAGCTGAAATTTTGACACTGGTTCCATAGATCAGTATATGGAGTATTGCCATTTTAACAATCTGAAGTCTTCCAATTCATGAACACAAGACTTTTTCCATTTATTTGGTTCTTCTTTAATTTCTTTCAACAATGTTTTGTAGTGTCCAGTATATGTGTTGCACTTCTGTGTTAAATTTATTCCTAAGTATTTAATTATTCTTTATGTTACTGTAAATGAATTTGTTTTCTTAATTTCATTTTCAGATTATTTATAGCTAGGTATAGAAACACAATGGACTTTTGTATATTGATCTTGTACCCTGTAACCTTGCTGAACTTGTTGATTAGTTCTAACAGTTTTTTGCAAGGAGGATTCTTAGGATTTCCTAAGATAACATAATGTTATCTGCAAAAAGAGAGAGTTTTACTTCTTCCTTTCCAACCTGGATGCCTTCTATTTCACTTTCTTGCCTAACTACCTTGGCTAGAACCTCCAGTGCAATCTTGAGCAGAAACATAATCCCTCTTTTTAGCTTTTTCTCTCCTCAACCATTGACATGAAAGAGGAAGAAGCCCCTATAAAACTGCATTTTTAAAAAGATTTTATTTATTTGTCAGAGAGAGCAAGCACAAGCAGGGGGAGCGGCAGAGGGAGAAGCAGGCTCCCTGCTGAGCAAGGAGCCTGATGCGGGACTTGATCCCAGGACCCTGGGATCATGACCTGAGCCGAAGGCAGACACTTAATCGACTGAGCCACCCAGGTGTACCTATAAAACTGCATTTTAGCGTGTAGTAGAAGATTCTTCTTTTGTGTCTTTGCAGCAGGTGCATGCAAATACCTGCATTGTTTTTTTGTCAGCCATTCTGGGTCAAAACTATTGGCCAAAACACAAACGAAATGGCAGTGTCAGGGGGAAGGGTACAGGGAGGACGAGAGTTTTTCTGAATGGGAAACTAACACTCATTAGCCAAGAATGTAATGTATATCATGCTAGGACTGGCTGAGTGAATGAAACGTCCTCAGAGGATGGGCAAAATAAGAGTGAATTATTACAGATCGGTTTATGTATATGAATTATTTTTTAAGGAAAATATTTCACAGGCAAATAGGGTTATAATGAATCAGTGCCACACAGGGCAAGACAGAAGTATGCATATATACTTACAAAATTTATTTTCAGAAGAATTCACAAGGAAACGCTAGCCGTGATTATCTTAGGGTGAAGACTACAATGGTGGGGATGAAATTGTGCACCTTTCTAAACTGTTTGGGTTTTCCTGTTATGTACTTTTAACTAGGCAGTGATTATGAACTGTTTTATTTTTTCTTTATGTTTTTCTAGATTTAAAAAACCCTACCAAATGTAATTGCAAAAATGAAACACCGCGTACAGTAAATATGTAATTAGGGGCCTATCAAGGAGAATTCCATCCCTCCCTTAGAAATACCTGAGTGATGAGTAACCAGGGAATGGTCTAGAAAAATGAACAGGGAGTGTTATTTGAGTTCAAATATTCAGGATATGTCTGTCATCTTTGTTGGGTAGAAGAAGTGAGAACTGAGGGATTCCCTCCAACAGGAAACAGGAACTGAGTGGGCAGTTCGGGGGGACAGAGCTGGCCTTCAGAACAGGAAAGCAGTCTGTTTCTGGCTAGCTGAGAGCCTTCAAGTTTTTCAGAAAATGTTGGCACAGGTACAGCCCCGTCCTGTCACGGAAGGGTAGACGCTGTCCACACAGCTAGCTTGCTAGCGAGTGTGGTTCCAAAAAAGAGAATTAGACAGAAAAAAATGGGGGTGAAGTGGTCCCCAGGCCTGAGAGATGGAGAATGGAGTGTAAGAATCGCTGGATACGCACGGAGAGACCTCAGGAACTCCACAGGCCAGTGTCAGTGGTTGGAACCCAGGTAAGAACTCTCAAAGCCATAGAGGCAAGAATTGCTTTCTTCTTAGGGCTGTGGTCAGATTCTGCACGGAATGCTGGGGAAATTGTACCGAGTGGAGCCAGAGGGGACACCAGCCCGGCCCTAATGTAGAGATTAGACCACAAGTAGGTTCCAGGAAGGTATGAAGATTCCATTTGTCTCAGATGCAGTGCCAAGTTAATTCTTACCTCAAGCTATTAGTTTGAGCATCTTTGTTTAATGTTCAAACTTTTTTTTGGTTTGTTTTTGCTTTTAATCCCATCTTTTCATTTGTAACCAGGCATTCTTGTTTCCCCCACCCCCTCCCTTTTTAAACATCCTCTTAACTTCTTAATACAATTAACTTTTTGAGCATTCTAGCCAATTGCAAGTTTGTCAAGAGGAAAGGTAGGTGTTTCCAGGCTCTGGTGGGTAAAGAGATGGGAGCAGGTTGCCTGTGTGGTCACCAGGGGAGGGTGGCAGCAGTGAAAGAAGAGATAGAAACCAGAATAAACCAGAAGAGAGAGTGGGGCTAGCTGCAGGGGCTGCGTCCTTGTGCCCTCTGTCACCTGTTGGGCAAACATTGACCGGGTGTCAGAGGGTCTAGATGACGGCCCCTAACACGTGTTGAGTATTTACTATAGGATGAACCATTGGAAATTGACAATACTGAGCCATTTTTAGATCCACCAAAATGTCAATTCTCTGTGATTCAACCCAATACATGTATTCTGATTTATATGTATTCATCACAGTACCCCCCCCCACTCACCTATAAAGTAGAAACTACTGTGTTTATATTCCCATGTTATAATGAGCAGACCAAAGCTCATTGTGCTTGTGTAACTCTCTAAAGGTCACACAGCAAGTTGAGGAGTCAGGATGGGACTCAAATCCAGCCACTCTGGCTTCCAAGCTTACTCTCTAAACCCTAGACTACTCTCCTGGCTTGAGACCTGAAGACCAACAAGCTCTGGAGAGAGCCCAGGCCTACATTCTCAGACGGTTTTTCTCTAAAATGAGGCAGGACAGACCAGGCTTTGGCCAAGCAGGAACTGGGACTGTTGCCCTTCACTCTGTTAAAGTCATAACAGACTTCACAAAGCCCACATATTCAACCACTTCCTTTACTGGGTCAATCCTTATCTGCGATCAGAGAAAGCTTTACATCATATTATTAGAAGCCTTCTTTGAAGCTGTATTGACACTTCAACCAGTTTTGAATAGCGCCAAATGAGCAACTTAGAGCCTCAGGCCAATCAGAAAGAGCATCTCAAACTCTTCTAAACCCAGGTGTGGGTTCCTGAAATGGCCACCCAATTCCATCTGGCTTCTAGATAGACTCTGTCTCTCTGATCAAGTGTGATCTCACAGGCTGGGTAATCTTCCCAGAACTCCCATTTTCATTATGTCATTCCTGGAACAGAAAATAGCTCCCCAGTGCCTGGATGGTCACATGCAAACTCTTGAAACTGACCTCTAAGGAACTCCATTACTTAGCCTGTCCTTCCCTGGCCCCCTTCGTTCTCACAGGTCCTGATGGCTATCCTCCCCAGGAAGCTCATTCTCACCTAATGCCCATTTCCACAATTAATCTACTGTTTATGCCTGCCAGGCTTTGCTCCTTGAATTCCCTTCCTTCCAGCCTTTCCCAGTCTCGATGCTAGCCCTTCTTAACCATCCCAGCTCAAACCTCACACCTTGCCAGCGGCCCTTTCTAGCCAAGCCTACCAATAGTAACCTCTCAGGCCTTAGAACTCTGAGGATGCAGCCTAGGGTTTTTCTATCCACTGTGTTGAGACCAGTATTTCAACTCTATGTAAATAAGATAGAAAGAACCTCAGGAACACAGACTGTGTCCTCTATGACATTCGTTTCTTCAACATTTATCAAGTACCCATTCAGTGCCCAACCCTTTGGTATACAGAGGTAAAAAAAAAAAGACACAGTCCCTAGGTTCAAAAGGCTTATGACCCAGAAGAAAGATGCATTAGGTTAGACCATGTGAAACTGCTGTTTCTATAGGTTAAAAATGGTCAAATATTGGCAATATAACGTGGCTCATTCTAAATATAATTATCAAATAACATAGTAAGATCAGGGATAGAGATACAACCAGAGCATTTGGGGGTAAAGAGGAGGGTCATGCACTTATCTTGTCAGGGGAGAGCCTGAGACTTCTGGAACACAGTGATATCTGTGCTGAATCGTGACGATCTGGAGTCGTGTGACAAGGGGAGGCTATTCTAATAGAGACAACATGAAGACAAGGCAAGGAGGTAAGAAAGAACAGGTAGACAGTAGATGTCATGGGCTGCATTCTATTTCTCCAAAATTTTTATGTTGAAGCCCTAACCCTCAGTACCTCAGAAGGTGACTCCATTTAGAGACAGGGCCTTTAAATAGCTAGGTCAGTTAAAATGAGGCATTTGGTCGGTTCCCTTTACCAGACGAGGCAATTCGGACATACAAAGAGACACCAGGAGTGCAGACAAGCAGAGGAGGGACTGTGCGAGGACTCAGCGAGAAGGGGCTACCTGCAAGCCAAGGAGAGACGCTGCAGAAGAAGCCAAACCTGTTGACACCTCGATCTTGGACTTTCAGCCTCCAGGGGCGGGGGAAGTCCATTTGCACATACTGGTCTGTGGTAGTCTGTTATGGCAGCCCCGGCAAACTGATGCCGTAGGGTTGGGTATGAACCGAGTGAGGCAGCTAGATGCCGAAGCAAAGGATGGGAAGAGAAGAGACTGTCCCAACAGGCAGGACAGCTGGTGTGCGGCACTGTGCCTATGTTAAGGACCCTGAGCTTTTTCCCGGAGGCGAAGGGAAGCTTTGGGAGAGTTTTAAGCAAGGAGGTGGCAGAATCAGAAGGTGTTTCAAGGAGAGCTCCCCAGCGGCGACGAGGAAGGTGGATTTGATGAGACAGAAAGATCAAGTCGGAGGCTGTTGGATTGGTACCAGCGAGTTATTAATGGGACTCACATCCAGGGAGACAGCAGTACCATGAATGGAGAAGGACCCAGCTGAGAATACTTACGAGGAAAGTTCATAGTGCCGGCTGAAACCCTCCCAGGGCAAGGAGTGGAGAGGAGGAGGAATTGGAAGGCCCCCACTTTTGGCCTGGGACAAGCGTGGGAACGTGAGCCACCACGGATGAGCTCACTGCCATAGGAGACGAGCAGATGGGGCCCAGGGAGTGGGGTTACCAGTGAGAGGCCTGTAGGGCCACCAGGAAGACAGGATGTCAAATGGGTCGCTAAGCAGTTGCCTCTGATCTTTGAGGGAGAGTGGAGCCAGCCTGTAGATGTGGGAGCCTCCAGCAAAGAGGGGAGGTATGGCCAGCGGTGCCCACGCCACTCACAATCCATGGGGCCCTTTTATCATCCGTGTGCACATCAACTCCTGGCATGCTCTCCATGACTCTTGGTCAGATGTGGCTCTTGGGTGGCCCAAGCCTGTTTTGCCTGCAAACACAAGAGTCGGAAGTACCTGGGAACATCCATCTATCGAAGCAATGGGGACACATGCAGGGGTGTGTCCACAGTCTGGGCCATACCCCTGCAGGGACAACTCTGAGACTGACCCACACCACCTTCCAGGGCCATCCTATGGGACTTGACTTGATATCATAGCACCCTGGCTTGGCCTCCTCCCCCTCTCTTTGCTTCTACTTCCTGTCCTGGGCATACTTCCTAATAAATCTCTTACACATGAATCTTGTCTCAGGGTCTGCTTTGGGGGAATCCTACCCATGACAGGGGGTGTAGATGAGACCACTCCAGGAGGATGTGCGGCAAAGAGCGGAGCCCCCAAGGGAACACCAGCTCTGAAGAGGCAGGCGAAGAGAAGAGCCTGAAGAAGATGGAGGAGGGACAGCAGAGGGGCACCGGAGAGCCAGAAAAAAGAGAGGCAAAGGGGCTGCCAGGAAAGCCAGGTGACAGAGATTCCCAGAACGAAGACTTGTCAATAGTACCAAACAAAGCAGAGGAGTTCCAATAATATAAAGACTGGGGGCGCCTGGGTGGCTCAGTCGTTAGGCGTCTGCCTTCGGCTCGGGTCATGATCCCAGGGTCCTGGGATCAAGCCCCGCATCGGGCTCCCTGCTCCATGGGAGGCCTGCTTCTCCCTCTCCCACTCCCCCTGCTTGTGTTCCCTCTCTCGCTGTGTCTCTCTCAAATAAATAAAATCTTTAAAAAAAAAAATATATATATATATATATATATATATATAAAGACTAGAATATGTTTACAGAATCTGGTGATCAGAAGGGCAAAATGACCTCAGGAAAAAAATAGTTTCCCTAGATTCATGACGTTGGCCCACAGTCCCAAGTGATGGGAACTTCATTCTCCCTTCATAAATGGATCCTCCCTTCCCTTCTTCCTCATGGGCAGAAAACCTCACTTGGATATACCTAAGTTCTAGATTTACGTCAATGCACACACATTTTCGCTGCCCCCTCTGGAACTAGAAATGTGTCTTTAGTTGTACTGAGACTGACAGGTTGGCTCTCAGGCCTCTGAGAGATCAGAGAGATGTGGATGTTGATGCGTTGATAGAACTGAAGGAAGAACATGGCTGATGGCGTCGGTTTTCCCTGGGGGACAGGAGGCAAGAGAAGGAAGGGAGAGCGGGGAAGGGGGGAAGGTCTGGACTAGATACTGAAGGCCACGGGGAAGGGAGCTGCCCAGGGGAGAGGGAAAGGATTTGTTCCCAGCCTGTGGGGCCACTGGAGCCCGAAGCAGGCACGCTGGGAGTCTCAGGCCCCAGCATGGAGGAGTAGCGGAGGCTGAGCCTCTGGGTGGAGGTGGGTGTATGGCAGAGACAAAGGACTCTCAAAGGAGGGGCACTTTTCCATGAGGCAGGTTTGGGTGGCTGCGAGTGGATGAGTTCCCACATGTGGGTGGGAAAAGACCGCTGTGTTCTTCAAGGATCAGAAATAAAAATTTTGAGAAAAACTTCAGAGGTGAAAACTTCATGCATACTAGAGGTGCACATGTAGACTAATTTCAAAAGTCTTGTTTAACTTTTTTAAGATTTTATTTATTTATTTGAGAGAGCAGGGGGGTGGGGGGAGCAGGGAGAGAGAGAGAAGCAGGTTCCCCACCGAGCAGGGAGCCTGACATGGGGCTCGATCCCAGGACCCTGAGATCATGACCTGAGCTGAAGGTTAAGTGTCTGCCTTCAACGCTTAACCTACTGAGCCACTCAGGTGCCCCTCAGTAGAGCTTTAAACAAGCCATCTGAGCCACCCCTAAAAGGCTTATTGTTTTAAGTGGAACACACAGTGTTAGGCATCGTGCAGACTCACAGAGCCTGTGGCATGCACATCTCCTTGTGGCTATGGAGGGTTGCATACTTGGGGCTTCTCCCTATTAGTATGGGCTGTCTTTGTGACCAGGGAATGAGGCATTTATGAGGAAGGTAGGAGAAGATATCCTCGTTTCTCCAGAATTCTACCGTTTGTGGAGACAGCAGCTAGGAGAAAGAGCCACATCAGATTCTGCGCCTGTCAGCGCCTCCTCAACATGATATATTTTCACGTTTTTCTCAGCACAAGCTTGACTTTAACAATGAATCCAGAAAAGAGGAGAAGTGATAATAAATCACAAACAATAAAAACCAACAGAGATTTCTTCTGACCCCACCACCGTAGCTCTTCCATCCTGTAGGCCTGTCAGAGGAAAGCTAACTAACACTGAGTAAAGCACTTTAGAGAGAGAACGCAGGAACCCAGCAGTGCCCCAGGGACCAGAGGCACGGAGCCTTGCAGAAGGCCCTTCGCATCTTCCTTGGCAAGAGTCACAACTGCTGCAAGGTCAAGGGTGGGGTGGGGGTGGAAACAACAGGAGAGCGGAGTGGTGGCGGCCAGGCAGAGTAGGACAGCAGTAAGATCAGCTTCGTCTGGTGCACAGTTGTGCCCAGAGTCGGTGGACAGGTGAGGGAGAGTCTGAGGAGAGCCACTGGGGTCTGGTCTATGGGAAAAGCATCTTTAATAATTAACAAATGAGAAAAGGCGTGGAGTCAGTAATGTGACCCCTAACCTTTTGAGCAAATTGCCATGCCTCAAGAGTCTGCAGCCAAATTACAGGCTTCCCAGCCAAGGAAGGCTGAGAAGGAAAACACAGGAACCGTTGTAACCAAATGAATCTCACAACCAAGTCAATCCAGGACACATCTGATGAGAGCCATGTTCAACACTGGATGTATGGAAGACACGACTGGAAAATGGTTCTTGTAAATGACTAAAATTAGCAAGCCAGAACCAAACGCAATTTTAGTTTTTCTCTTCTCACTTTGTTAATACTCCAATATCTATAATCAACACAATGTTGAATTTTTTTCCTGATAGCCACCGAAATAATCAGACACATTCACTCATGTGTAAGAAGACAAAGATACTTGGTCCAAGGATACTTTTTTTTTTAACCCTGACCTTCATATCCTTCCACTGTTCAAGATACCTGCAGTGGTTTTTGGGTTTGGTTTAGTTTGGTTTGGTTTGGTTTTAATGCAACTAAATGCTATATGGAGTTCCTTGAAGGCAGAGAGAAAGCGTATAGGGAAAAGAAGGTCGTTTCCATCCCTGGATTCTAATCTCTGTTCTGCTCTGTATCAGCTGTATGCTGCTGGACCCCTTAATACCTCTTTCTGAGCCGTGAGTCCTCTAAGTGAAGATGCTGAATAGCCAGCAGGAGGGGTGGGGACTGGCAGCAGAGCACAAGGAAATCCAGGAGAGTGTGACACAGAAGCCAAGAGAAGAAAGTGTTTTTAGAAGGAGGGAGTGGTCAACCATGTTGAAAGCAGCTGCAAAGATGAGTGAGAGAAGCTTCCATTTCATCTGCACCACCGAGGAACGCGGAACATATCAAGACACAAACCAAGACTTCTAAATTGTTCTTGGTCCATCATTTCAAGGCCATGGGCTATCTTGAAAGGGAGGGGGAAAAAAAGAGCATCTTTGATTACTGTCTTGTTTTAAGCGACTTCTTTCCCAAGGTCTTATTTGCATATTAAACCAAAATAAAATCTGAGAACAAATTTTTATAACTGATGTTTTTTTTCTTTCACTTTCAGTAATTTCTAGGCTCTCTGTGCCCATTTAAGGGAGAATTCTAAAGGATGGGAGTAAACTAAACCTTGACTATATAATTTGGGGCAGGTTCAGAAACATTTCCTCTTCATTGTAAGCGCATCTGATAACAATAGATTCCATACTGATGTGCAATAAATCTTTCGAATGCAGTCATTTCATGGTTAGCCTAAATTTAGGCAAACACAATTTCTGAATATTAAGAAAAAGAAAAACAAATGCCATAATAAGCTTTCCAGCACAAGGGTCTAAAAATAGTGTATTTCTTCTCCCAGCTCTACACACACAGGAAAAGCTCTTGGCCATCAGAGGCTGGTTGATCACAGCTCCACCGAGTCCAGAGAGAAGGCTCTCCTCACATGCGTACTGACTTCCCCGTGTGAGGCTGGCCTGCTTATGAACTGGGAGCACATTTCATTAACTAATGTTCATTATGACGCCCCACGCCCTCGCCATACCGACTTCCCAAGCTCCTCCGCTGGCCCCCCACCTTCCTCCGACCTCTTCCCTCACTTTCCTCTCTCCCTGGTGATTTCAGTGTGCTCAGACTCGTCAGTATTTATAGACTGAATGTTCCAATCTTTCCAGTGAGCTGCTGACTTGTAGACCCCACTAAGTTCTCGATATCAAGTATCTGTTTGACATCCCAAACTTAACATATACAAGACTGGGATTTTTACTTTTCCTTCCGATGTCTTGCTGTCTCACCAAATGGCCTCACCATCTACCTAGTGGCTCAAGTCAAAAGCCTGGAATTATTCTGGACACTCTCATCTCCCTCTTCTCCATACTCGATGACCAAAGACCCGCCAGCCCCACCACCTGGACATGTCTCAGATGGGTCTGCCACAGCCGCCACCAGGACCTCTTGCATATGGACGACTGCAAGGTTCTAACCCTCCCCTTCCCATCCCTCAGCGGCCTGCAGTCCATCCCCCAGCAGCCCGAGCAGCCCTGAAAACACAAGACAGATCAGGATCCTTCCCTGCTACAAGCCTTGGGGCGCCTTCCATTGCACTTCGGCCTAAGGCTCGCTGGCCAGACTCCTGCCTGCCTCCCTCTGCCCATCTGGCCACACCGCCCTCCTTTCTGTTCAAGTACCAGCCTGCCAAGCCCTTTCCTGCTTCAGGGCCTTTGTAGTCCTCAGAGACACCTTCCGTTCGCGCCACTTCTCACCATCTGGAACCCTGTGAAGGCAACAGGGTCCCGCTATGTGGAAGCTCCGTGAGAGCAGGGACGTTGTCCACCTCCGTCGTATAGCCATCCCACTGGCTGAGGGCAGAGGGGTGCAGAGAGCGGTGCTGGGTGGGGAATGCGGGGCTCCTTGCTCTGGATTTCCTACACAACCCATGAGTTAGCGGACGTAGAGGTTTCGTATGCGAGAACGAGGGACTTCTTCGTGGGAAGAGTGGCCACACCCCAGGCGGCCATGCTGCACAAAAGCACCAGCCAGCCTCCCTGGGGGGGCGGGGGGGCATTTAAAAACAAACAACCTAACAGGTTCAGACTGGCTTCTGCCCAAAGGTCAACTGGCCTTGTCATCAAACTGGGGGGCCACCGCTGGATGGCTGTCTTCCCACCTGTCTGACGGCTGTAGTGAAGAGGAGGCAGGATGAAAGCTTCTGTGGTCATAGCAATCGCAGTATTCCTGGGGCCTAGGCTTGGGCTTGCCGATAAACAACTATTTAGAGAAATGAAGAAAACGAGCAAAGCAGAGAGGGGCAAAAACGGAAAAATGGCAAGAAGTAATCCTACAAGTAAGCGCTGCAAGACACACGTGGACACCACCCTGTGGGAGCTCGGAGTAGAATCTCCCCCAGGCACAGGCGTGGCCTCCTGCTGGGAGAACCCCAAACAAAAGGCCCCACTGACACTGACATCTGTTCCTGCTAAACACTTAGGAAGCAATATTTTCCTGAAAGTTTGTTGTTATTGTTTTTTTAATTTTGGCTTTAAAGGGTTACTGTCTGTCAAGCTACCAAACCCCCACCTTGTCCAAGTCCTCAGCCACCACACAAAGTGACTATTAGAACTTCAAACAAAGAATCTGGTCCTGGAAATGGCCTTGTGTTCGTTTTTTCCTGAACAGAGACACCAGGAAAGCGTCAGAAGGCAAATCTAAGCCCAAGCCCTGAGAGACTTCAAACATAACAATCACATTCCTGGGAGGATGAGTGACCTAACCCAGTTTGATTTAAAAAGGAAACACAGCAGATTTAATAGATGGCCAGGATGCGTCTTGAAGGAAAGGAGGGGGAAGCAGAGGATGAGGGGGAAAGAGATCTCAGGGTGCTTTACCTCAACACCTGCATCTCCTCGGGGGAGTTCCGCACCTCGTCCTGGAGGCGACACCAGCGCAGACAAGCCTTCAGCTCCTGCTGCTCCTGGGCCTCGTGGGGGGCCAGCTGCTTGGGCCACAGACACACAAACACATGTGCACAAAACACAGTCACTGTTGTCCTCACGCGGGGTCACAGCCGCCCGACAGGGCAGCTTGCTCAGTTTCAGGGTGACCGCACAGATGGCCTCCCCGCGGTGCCTGGCACCCCATCAGAAAAGCCAGAGGGCCAAAGGGGTCTGGTAGGTCCTCACACGAAGACCCAGCCGCTCACTCTCCTGCTGGTGATGGAGCTGGGCCTGGCTGTCTGGAACCCACCCCTCACACACCCTGGGGCCTAGAAAGAGCAGGCTTCCTTAGAGGGCTGTTTCCACTCGGATTCCATCCAGCCCTTTCCTGCTTTGTCTTTCGGCACCGGGTGGGGAAGGTCCCCTCCATTTACCTCCTACTTTTCCCAGCCCTCAGTTTGGTTAAGGGCTGTTTACAGTGGAGCCTGCTAATGCAGCCCAGATGATTCTGTTTGCATAGAAGCAGAAAGAGTGTACTGCCTGGATTCACTCTGGGGGAGGGGGACGCCATCACACCCTGCCCTGCTGGTGAGAACGGGCTACTGCCACTGGGCTCACAAGGCCCCACGACTCAAGTCTCTGTAAGGGAGGGCAGCAGAACATCGGCCTGGAAGGGAAATGTCAGTACCAACAGGCACTTCTGGAAATGAAAGATCCTTAAGAGTGGATTCAACAGGTATTTACTGAGTCTCTGCCAGACCCTGGGTACACTATGGACACAGCCTATAAGAACACTAGCCATCAGAGGTTAAGGAAGAACCTAGATGCCTTCTGGCCATCCAGGTGAGTCCCTGAGGAGGTGGTGGGGCCCACACTGGTCCCCAGAGAAAGCAGGAGTCAGCCCAGGGAGGAGGAATTTCAGGAAGAGGGAAAGCATGTGTAAGGTTCAAGGGGCCTGGAAAGAGCGTGATGATGTGTTTAGAGAACGGTGAGGGATGTAGTCGGGCGGGGAGCACGCTATCACCTGGGCAGAGACAGAGGTGCCAAGTAGCCAGCAAAGGCCAGATGAGCCACAGGTTCTGTGTGCCCTCTTGATAAGGACCGAATCATGAGTGGAAAATTCATGTTGAAGCCCTAACCCCCAATGTGACTGTATTTGGAGATGGGACCTTTAAGGTGGCAATTAAGATTGATGAGGTTATTAGGGGTGGGCCCTGGTCCAATAGGCCGGGTGTCCTTAACAAGAAAAGGGAGAGACACCAGGGCTCTCTCTCTACATGTGCACAGAGGAAAAGCCACGGGAGAACACAGAGAGGAGGTGGCCGCCACCAAGCCAGGGAAGAAAGGTGTCACCGGATTCCAAGCCTGTCAGCACCTTGATCTTGGACTTCCAGCCTTCAGAACTATGAGAAAACAAGTGTTGTTTAAGCCTCCCGGGCTGTGGTATTGTGTTATGGCAGCCTGAGCTAAGACACCTGTGAAGGAGGTTAGACTTTATCCAGGTTGATGACAAGTTACATGATGCAATCTTGCAACTAACTGAATTCCCTATTCCCTGCGGAACGCCGCTCCAAGTGGAATGCCCCTCTCTGTCTCCTTGTTCAGTGGTTTCCCCCTCCCTCACTTTGCCATGCTCGCTAACGTTCAGTGATGCAGAGCACAGTCTGTCTGGGCTGCCAAGTGGCCGATGTGCGTCACCCCCTCTTCCCTGGCGGCATCTGCCACTGACCATGTGAGCTGGCCCACACTCTCCTGCCCCAAAGAGCCCCTCTCCTGCTCGGAAGGTCTGCCATCAGGGACCAACAGCAGCTCAGTCTCGCCCTTTAAGGAAGGGGCTAGAGGGATCGACACTCTCTGGAAAGGTTTCCAAGCTTTGTGCTGGTATCCAGAATGGCCACTTTGCTTCAGACCAAAGGGCTTTCACATATTGAAGAGATCCTGCCCCCTTTAGGGTCTTTAGACCCTGAAGTATAGTGCGGTGGGTTGTCCCCTATGCTAGGTTAAGGGAAAGGCAGGGACAGAGAAATCTCAACTCCTACTTTACCTTTGAGGCCCATGTCAGAAGTCACCTTCTCCAGGAAGACTTTCTGGATCTGCTCAGGCCTGACCTCTCCCACCTCTGACCTCACACAATATTTGGTATTTACCTCTCTCTTCTAACTTATTTTCTTCTTCCTTCTACTGTGTGCTTTTCTTATCTTCACAGTTAAACTATGACCTCTTTCAGAGCAGGGCTGGGTCTCACTCATCCTTTTATCCCTACAGGTCTAGCACAGAATGGACACACTGAAGGTACGTCAGCTGTGGGATGAGGCCAGACCGGCTTCATGCCTCTGTTAGTGGAGATGGACATATTCAGGGCAGTAAGAGGCAGGACGTAAGCAATGAGACTCAGGACTGACATTCTGGAAATATGGGCAGGGGCCAAGGCGACGGAGGAGTGCTTTTTGTGGATACGGGAGATAAAGGACAGGGAGATCATCGTTAGATGCCTGAAATATACTCACAATTACCAAGAACAGCACAAATCTGTCTCAGGACAGAAGCACCCCAGAGAAGGGATGATGATAGAGGCCCATTTATACTGGCCTATTTAACCCTTGCTGAATGCCTACTGTGCATCAGTCAGGTGGAGGAAAATACAAAGAGAAAAAGAAGAGAAAAAGAGAACTGGCATTTCCTGCATGAGCTCCATGTGTCATTCATAATTATCCCATTCACCGTGCCAGTTTGCACATTCTTATATGTATTTTCAAATGAGGAAACTGAGGGTCAGGGAGGCTATGCAACCTACCTACACTTACAGAGCTGGTCAACAGCAGGGCTGGGATTCCCTGCCCGGTCCGACTCCAAACCCCGCCACCCTGCCCAAATCTGCCACGTGGCCTCTCTTCACTGTGTGGCAGGGGACACAGATGTGCACGCTGCTGGCCAAGGTGCAGAGGGCGTGGGAGGGTGAATAAGCTGCAGCTCCACTTTGAAAGAGACCACAGTCTAGTTGTGAGGATAGGAGGAAGAAGAAAGAAGTGAGGAAAAAGAGGTAAGTACCAAATACCATGGGAGTTCAAAGCTTCTAGAAGAGTGAGTACTGTGAGTGGAATGATCAGTCTGGGCTATCCAGAGAAGGTGACCTTGAGCTGGTTAGTGAAAAATAAACAGGATTTCAACAGGCAGAAGGAGCTCAAACAAAAGCATATAGGTATGCACAAACTTGAGGATTTCAGAAAATGTTAACTAGTCCAGTGTGTAAGGGGTGGGGATGGCAGGGAAAAGAGTGACCAAATATTAGGGGGTGAAAAATAAGCAGGAGGCAGTTTAGCTGCCATATCCTCATTAGAGCCGGCAGTCAGTGCTTTAAAGTAGAGGTTGTAAGCTGGGAGCGTGCTGCCCATACCTCTGGGTATATTAGTTGGCATAGGATTTTTTTAAATTACTAAATTTCATATAAAAATCCAGATTTAGAACTTCCTTTTAAACCACCAGGAGTCCAGGCTCCACTGAGCCCTCCCGCCGACCCAGCCATGCTTGGTCCGAGCTGAGGGGAGGTTGCCAGCTTGTCTCAGCCCTAAGCACGCCCTAACCTACGACACCAGCCACTTTATTCTTCGTTACTTGCCAGCAGACATCTGAGATTATGCCTCCAGATGTAAATTTTCATCTTATTAGAAAAAAAAAACCCAAACCAAACCAAACACAAGTCAGTGTCACCACAACCATAATAACCACAGGGGAGTGCTTAAGCATGCCACGGCGTGACCTTCTCTTCTAGTCTTTGCTCAAATGTCCACCATCAGAGAGGCCTTCTCGTGGTGCCTTCTAAAACTGAGCTTCCCCGCCACTCTCTGTCCGGCCTCCCCTGCCTTCATAGTGCTCACCACCTGACATGGTAGGGATGCGTTTGTCTGCTTCGCTGTCCTCTGTCCTATCCCCACAGGGAGAACCCCCCGGGGCTCAGGGCCTCTCCCCTCTCCCCAGCATCCAGCACAGTCCTAGCGTGCAAGAAGCCCTCTCCGGATCTGTGGAATGAACAGATGAACAGAATCTGACTCCGGGTCGGGAAATGCTTAGGGTCACTGTAAACCTACCTGCTGCGCTTCAGCCCAGAACACGTCTTCCAAGTGAGTGGCGAACCCTTCACTCAGCCACTCCTCCGTCCAGTCCCGGGCCCCGATGGCTAGGCCAAACCAGGCGTGAGCGATTTCATGGCAGAGCCGGGTCCCACAGAGATGGCTCGCTCCTGTCAAGACGCTCTGAGAGAGGAAGATGATGTGTGGGCTGTGGATAATGGGGGAGAAAACACACGGGAGTCTTGTTAGAGCCTGCCCTCACGGCTGCCCCATGGGGCGGCTTTCTTAGCCTGGCGAGCCTGTTATTATCATGTGCATGCTAGATCATGACCGATAGGCTTGCAGCTTAGATGCTTTCAGAAATAAATAAAGTGGCAGTTTACGTTTCTGGCAGTGGTTCAGGTGGCCGTTTGTGCCAAGCAGTTGTCTCCGTCATCCAACGGCTATTACCTGTAATGAGTAACCAGCACCAAAGTTTTATACCGAAGAAATGACAAGGCAATGGAAGCATTTACTCTGAAATCTGGACTGTAAAAGAAAAGCAGGTGTGAGAATGTGAAGCCCATGCTGTCAAGAGAGTGATCAAAGAAGCCCCTTCAGCCAAAAATCCGAGCAGCTTACACACAAATTGAGAAGTCATGCAGAAGGACAGGAAAAGCCGAGAAGAATGGGACCAAAATTTTCCATTGCAGACTGGGGCTGGCTACGGAGTGAACACACTAACAGGTGTCATGGATGGGCAAGGTTTCCCAGAGACTCAGAGAAAGGCCCAGTCTCCGTAAGGCAAAGCTTTTCAAAGGTCTCATCTCCTCCCTGTAGATGCTTATACACTCACTGACATAACAAAATTGGGCAGGGGGCGGGGTGGAGGTAACCACCCAGGTGTGCAAACGGCCCCAGGGCTGGCACCAGCTGGGGAGATTTATCTAATCTCATTTTCCATACCTTGTTTTAAAGCCCCAAATACCATGATTAGAATTGCATAGAAGTGGGAGAAAGGGAGGCTGAAAACAAGAGGCGGAGAGCAAACCTCCCGTGCGTCCCCCTTCCACATTGCTCATTGATCCAGGACTTGTTTACAGTTTTATTAAATGAAGAATTTGCTCTTAAAAAAAAAGCAAAAACAAACCCAAAACCCTCTCCTCCATCAATTGAACGTGAACAGTTGTGAAAGCTCCCAAATTAAGAAACCATCCACACTGGTTCCTTCCTTCAGAAGCCATTTGTTTGCTCTCGCGTGGGCTCAGCACAAGCCAGGGCCGCGCGCGGATCTGTCCTCCGCCCCCAGGGCCACCAGTAGAGAAAGCCCCACCTGTACTTCCCTTGCACAACATCGCCCATTCAGCCCAGAGAGCTCAACTGAAATCGCGGGAGCCACGTGTGCCAAAATAGACAGCTTTCATGTGAAATAATAACAGGGCAGGCACGCAAATGAAAAGCGTCTGCCAGGCTCTCAGCAGAGTCCACCAGAAACCCCAGGAATTAAAAGTGCACTCGGGGCATTTAGGACACGGGGGTGCTTGCGGGGGGGGGGGGGG